TTTTAGCCCTTTTTGGTAGATAAATAAGAGGTAAAGAATCATAGTTGCTAGCTAAATTTTATTTTTATAAGAATATTAGATGAAATACAGGATGACCTACTTAAAATTTTAAGGTTCATCTTATTTGCGGTCAAATCGAAAGTGACATTGAATTTTCAGTCTTAAAACAAAGTAATCTAGTATAAGCAAAAAAAAATACTAAAGTTACAGGAGATTAAAATGACAGTGTTAATGTAAAAATGTAATTTTAAACTTCGTTTAACACAACGACCCTTAGTCACGTTAATAAAATGTTACATTACAAACCCCTAAACAACTCGAACATAATTTTCGTTTACTAAAAAAAATCCAAAATTTAGCAATATTTATTTATTATACAATCGAATGCGATTTCAAAGATAACTGGATCAAAAAATCCGAATCTCTAAATTTTGGAGCTAAATGCTCAGATAAAAGCAAGCGACCGATAGGGGTTACAAAAATAATCGATTTATCGATAATTCTGATATTTTTTAATGAAAATCGATTTATCCGCTGTTTTTAATAAATTATTTTCGTTTTTTTTTAAGATAATGTATTAATCGATTTTAAAGGAAATACAAAAAAGTAGATTTATTCAAAATAATCGATTTATCGTTTAATCGGTTTTTTAATTATTTGATTATTTTCGATTTTTCAAAGATATATGAAAATAATCGATTGAATATAATCGGTTATTTTACATAATCGATATTTTTGTTATTTTTTTAAAATTATCGATTTATTGGATAATCAGCTTTTTAATAATCAATTATTTTCGATAATCGAATAATCAATTTTAAAGGAAATATGAAAAAAGGATTATTAGAAAATAATAGATAATTCGTTTTATTTTTTGGAAAATCGATTTATCATAGAATCGGCTTCTTAATTAATTGGTTATTTTCGATTAGGCGATTATTTTGGAATTATTGATTATTTTTGGTATTTCAAAGATTATCGAATTATCGATTTTAAAGGAAATACAATAAAAATAGATTATTGATAATAATCGATTGATCGAAAATAATCAATTATTTAAAATAATCGATATTTCTGTTTTTTTTTTAATCGATTTATCAGTTAATCGACTTTTTAATTAATCGATTATTTTTGAAATACAATAAAATAGATTATTGGTAATAATCGATTTATCATAGAATCGGCTTATTAATTAATTTATTATTTTCGATTAGGCGATTATTTTGGAATTATCGATTATTTTCGGTATTTCAAAGATAATCGAATTAACGATTTTAAAGGAAATACAATAAAAATAGATTATTGATAATAATCGGTTGATCGAAAATAATCAATTATTTAAAATAATCGATCATTCTGTTTTTTTTAAATCGATTTATCAGTTAATCGACTTTTTAATTAATCGATTATTTTTGATTAATCGATTATTTTCGATTTTTCAAAGATTATCGAATAATCTGTTTCCATGGACGAAAAAAAATGGTTTATTTGAAAATAATCGATTATTTAAAATAAACGATAATTCTATTTATATTATATTTTGTAAACACTGATTTATCGGTTAATTGGCTTTTTAATTAATCGATTATTTTTGATTTTTCAAAGATAATCAAGTAGTCGATTTTAAAGGAAATGACAAAAAATATATTGTTTGAAAATAATCTATTGATCGAAAATAATCGATTATTTTCAATGATCGATAATTTATTTCGATAATCACTCATCCCTAGCGACCAAATGACTTTTAATAGATTTAAATTTTAAAATGTTATCTGGTTTCAGACATATGCATTTCTAGAGTTTTATGTGACTCATCCTTTATAATAATTAATATTCTTAAAGAAAGAAGCCTTAATATACTTTTTTCTGAGGTTACAATACAAAACAGCATTTTCTCATTTTGACTAATTTTTAATAATATGTAATAGCCGTAGAAAAAATATAATGTTCAACTCATAAGGGTAGATTTGCAGTATTAGCCTGCGCACATGCTATTTTTATAATACTCGTAGACAATGAGTAACATTTTTTGCTCTATTAACAATATATTCTATTTCAACATTTTACTGTAATCTCTTGCAGAAAAGTTCGTAGTAAATAAACGCTAACCAAATATTCTATAAAAGGTCTTCTCTTTACATAAAATGTCGTGGCATCTGTTTGATATTAAAAAATCACGTTAATTTCATTTCATAATATAAAATTCGATTTAACACCTTTTAAATAAACCTAATAGTTCATTAAGATGCTAATAAACAAAGTCCGGTCCATGTCACAGAGTTCGGGTCGCCGCGTGTCGGCGCCCAGTTCCCCCACTCCGTTAACCCTTCTTTAGAAATTGGCAACATTTGCGCAGGTTTAAAACCGGTGTATGTTATATCTCTGGTCTCTTTTATCTAAGTATTAAACTTAACTTCCCTCTCTCATCTTGTGTCGAAATTCTCATGTAGAACAAAAAAAACCTGCCCCCATTTAAGCCCGGGCGCCGGAAATTAGTCCCCCCCCCCCCTCTAGTCGGCCCTGAGTACGACTACAACCATTCTGCACTGGATTTGACTTGTCCCTCTTTGAAATATTATCAAATGGTATTGCAAAATAAAACACATAATACAGATCAATAACATAACGTAACTAATATTTGTATACTCATTCAAATAGTTTATGATTATTAATCAAGAAAATATTCTACTAAATTCTATTCAAATTGATTCGATTAATGAAGTCGTTGATGCTGCTAATATAACAAATAAAACTAATTTAAATGAAAAACTCCTAAATGTCTTACATTTCAATATTGGGAGTATTAAAAAGAATTTTGATGAGTTGTTAGTATTTCTAGAAAGTTATAAAATTAATTATTGTGATATAATAGTTTTGATTGAATGTTTCTAATTAGAATCTACTTCTCAATTTAACCTAGATAGTTTCACTACCCACTATAACAATGGTAACATTAACAGAAATGATGGTGTTGTAATTTTGGTCAGGTCAAATCTAAATGCAGAATTAAATATAGTTAAACTGGAATATTCTGATATTTGTATCACTAAAATAAATCTAAAAGTCAATTATCGGACCATTGGCATTACATCAGGTATATACAGGTCTCCTCAAACCTCTGCACAAGCATTTATAAGGAATTTAGAAAATTTCATACCAAATCACCTAAATAGAAATATTAAAATATTCATAGGGGACATTAATATTGATCTCCTAAATGTAACCAATCAAGTAACTACTGATTACCAAGCAACTTTTTACTCCCATGTTTTCATATCTTACATAAACACTATTACGAGGCCACAAAGTAAAACATACTTGGATCATATATTCTTAAAAAACAATATTAAGACTCAAAACCGACTTCCGATTCTAATGCCGTGGTGTCAACGTCGATATGGCGGTCTCAGAATTGGAAGTCAAGTTTGTATGTTTCCGATAAAATCTTTATCAAAATCGGTCATCGTGAAATGAATATTGTCTGATGTGTCTAGTATTTGTGTGTTAAAATTTTTTGAATTTGTATTTAAAAGATATATAGTGAATATAGGTAGTAAATAAGATTATACAATAGAGAACATGTTTATGGTCCAATTAGTAGAATACCAGCTCCTGATATTTTTAAATTAGTAAACCAATGGAAAAGAGTGAACATGGATTTTTCAATGGGAAGATGGAAAATTCCAGACGTTCTTTAATGAATATTCCCGTAATATAAGCTAACATACCTGCTCTGGGTAAATACCTTAAGGGTGGAGGCCAAAAAACTAACAGAAGAAGACTGAAAATCTATCGGTGAACTCTTATGTAATCAGCTATGATATGACTGATCATGATCCTATTAGGATAAATATCTCACAATCTGCCAAAAACTACACAAGTTCTTACAATACATATAAAACTATAACTAAAATCGATATTGATAAATTAAAACAAAAATTCGAAACTGTAAACTGGGAAAGTATTTGCAATGAAAATAATCCAGAAATTACGACACAACTTTTTTATGACACGTATCTTAATATCATTGAAACATGTCAAACCACTCAAAATATTAAAATTAAATTCAATAAAAAAATAAAGCCATGGATAACAATTGGTTTAATTAATTCTATTAAAACTAGGGATAAACTTAAAAAAGATCTATACAAACTATATTATTAACAAACAAATTCACTATAAAACATTTAGAAATAATTTAAACAAACTAATATCAATATCAACTAAAAATGACTATTATAACCATAAAATAAACCAAAACAAAAATGATCTGAAAAAAACTTATCAATTAATATCTGAAGCAACTAATGAAAATCATAAAAGAAATAATACCAATTTATAGATTGTTAACCTACATAATAAGGAATTTGAAAATGATAATGAAATGGCGAATTACTGCAATAACTACTCTTGTATGTTCACAAATATCCCTGAATGTAATGTGGATTTTCCTGTGTCACTAAAAAATTTTATTTGATTGTATTAATATGTATATTTTGTATTTTAGACTTTTGTATTTGGAATTTATATAAATATTTATTTTTTTATATTTAATTGTTTTTCTGTTTTGTTCAGTCATAAATTGTAATTTTTTTTCCTGATTTTTGTATTTTGAATTTTAGGGTTACCTATTTCAATAAATATATTTTTATTTATTCCCACGTGCTCGATCCGCCACTGTTTAAAAGTCCTTAAACGTTTTTGCACTGGTAGGCAACCAACATTACCCACATTTGCTTTACTGGTTGCGCACTTTCAAAATAAATTATGGCTATACGTACAAAGGGAGTTTTAATAAGTTATATATAATCTCTTATTGCAGAATAAATATTTAGTTTCATCAAAAACAAAGAATTATATACCTATTGAGGGATCATTCTATGAATAAACATCGGTTTGATGAAGATTTTTTTAATTATCTTAAATTTAAATACAATTTACAATATTAAAAAACATAGCATTGGAGGCGTAGACACTTCCAACAATAGATAAATATCTACTGAGAGTACTTTCAAATTGATCAAGAGGCTCGAGTAGGGAAAACTTTAATAACATATAAAATTAAGTATCGTACGTATTTAAATATTACTTATTTAATACAATAACACACAGATATGTCAAATAAAATCATTCTTCTAAAGATTACGATACATTATTTGCTTTATTTTGAAGATAGAAAATGAGTATTTGCCCCACTCTACACCCGCTTTCAACCCCGATCAATTGTGATGAGAACGTGTTAGATTCTAGTCAAAAATATAACCACACAAATCAAAAATTGAATCTTAAATCAAAATAGATAAAAATAACAGTAAGTTTGGGACAAACATTGCAATTTAGGAAACAATCAACTTATTTAATCTAACTTTCCATATTCGAGTAAGTACTTTATGTATAAATTTGATATAATAAAATAAAACAAACAATATTATTATACCGAACATAGATTATTATTATGTTAGTACCTTGATAAATATTTTATAAGTGTTACGGTCTCAAGAAGATAATTTAAGATGACTGGAAACGATAACAACGTATGTCCCCTACTGAAAAACCCAGAAAATTATAACCCTGATTCTCTAGATCTGATAAATAATCTGGAAGCCAGGGATTATTGGCTGAATTGTTTAGAACAGATGGTGAAGAAGTTCGTGAACAAAGCCAAATATTTGCATCCAGACGATCCTGAAGCCACCAAAAAAGCGGAATTGTGCTATCAAGACTTTCATATATTAGTACAACAGATCAATTTGGACCCCACGTAAGTAAATAATGATTTTTTATGTCCTATCCTTTATATCAATTTCATAGTGATCAACGTCTGGATAATCTGCGAATTTGAATCAGAGAATTTCTACTTAAATGAGTGAAAACTGTTGAAAATTTGCACAAAGAGGGTCCCTACTTTTTGATAGAAACAGTATTGCTATTTCCTAAACAGTAACAGATAGAAAAATGAATTAATTCAAAGAAATGACAATTTTAATGTTTTGTCTGATATTTTAATACTCCCTGTAGATATCATAGGTACCATTTTAATAAGCACAAAACTGCACAACTTTTGTCTAATTTAACCAACTTTCTATCTATTACTGTTTAAGAAAAAGCAATAGTATCTCGATGAAATGATTTTTATACATTTCTTTATGTATGGTCTTGTTTTTTAAATGTCCTATACAATTTAAAGACACAGAGAATGATGTAAACTCAGTTTAGCTAACAGGAGTTTCTTAATTGTTAATTGGTTATATTCAGAGTACAAATGTGATTTTTAAAACTATGTTTAACAATAACCGATAATTATACAATGAAGTTCACAGTTTTAAGTTTAAATTTTAGCTGTCCATTGTACAACCCACTCTAAAGTAAATTAAAATAATAATAATAATAATGATATTTATTAATGCCAGGAATAATATTATACAGAAAAAAATACATATAAAATTATATGGTATAAGTCAGATAATCTGTACTAGTTTGGTTACCTACAAAGTCCATACTTGGGTGACTTAAAAATGAATATAGTGATGTATTTGTTAAGAAATATGGGAAAACCCAAAAAAACCCATATTACCTTTGAAAACTAGTATAGATTTATGTTGATTTACAAATAATAACTACTTACAATCACTTCATTTACATCATTTAAGCTGTAAGGCTCAATATAAATCAAAATTTGTTTTTTAAAAGATCAGGGAGAGTATTATAAAATTGCAAACAATTGTAACAGCATCCCTTTTTCTGTAGGGTAGTTTTTGTATTTTAAGTTTATGGCAAAAAGAAAATAAGGAAGTACAGCAAAAAGAAAATAAGGAAGAGATACAGAAGAACAGTTTTCACAATCAAGTACATTCGGTTTTCTCATAATTAACACAAATTTCAATATTTTGATGTAGCTTCAACATAGGTAGCCATTTGTTTTCAACAATGACAATTCATCATTCAAAATCAGGTGAGCCTCAAGCCTCCAATCTTGGGCCACTTATATTCTTATTATTTATCAATTACTTGAATGGCTTAGTTCTGCTATATATTCGTTGAATATACTTTTTTGTTATACAGTAACATAATACACTCATATGCGTTACTAGCATATACTGTCAACAAATTTAGATTTTTAAAGTGACCTCTACATAATTCTGTAAGCTTTAGTTTATTATTAATTTTTAATAGTTATAAGTTACAGTGAGTTATAATAATAAATAAGTTACAATAAAGTACAATAATGGAAACCAATTATATAATAACAAGCACCTAGGTGAGAACACCTGTATGTGCTGACAAAAATTAAAATTTTATTTTAATTATATTTAATGAATTATCAAGAAAATAAAAAATAAAACTTGAACAATTTATGCAAGAAACAGAAAAAAAACTATTTAAAAAAATCCATGTATTATTCTTGGAATATTCTGATAAACTTTTCATTATTTTGGAAAATGTATATTTTGCTAACTTTACAGAATTTTTTATATTTGTTTAATAATTTTATATGAAGAGGTAAAGCGTTATACAACTTTGTTCCAAGATAATTTACATTGTTTTTAAAAACTCACTATTTGGTTTTGGTACTTTAATGCACATGTTCGATGCAGTTCTAGTGTTATCTCTGTGTTCTAAAGGGTTTTTTAAAAATTAATTTTTTTGTATATAACAACACACTGCGTGAATATATAAACATCTAACATTGCTAATTTTTTCATTATATAAAGTTATGGTGGGACCCAATCTATCTCTTTTATGTATTAGCTTCAAGATTTTGTTTTGAATAACATTTAACTGATTTAATGTAGTTCCATACAGGCCTCCCCATACTAAGATTCCATACCATAGTATAGATTCTACTAGACTGTAGTATAATGTTATTAGTAGATCCTGGTTGAGAAATTGTTTTAGAAAATAAAATTTATAAATCAGAAATCTAAGTTTTTTTGCTATATACACTATTGGACAAAAGTGAAGCAACTTTTATAGTAAAATAAAATATTTAATTATTTAAAATAAAATGAGCAATCATGGAAAATAAAAATAATTTAATTTAAGTGGTCATAGTAGGCTGCAGTCATATGTGACATGGGATTGTTTGCAAATGTCAAATAAGTTAGTATGTAATAATTTATTTCAACTAGACCTTTTATTATCGCGACAAAAGTATAGCAACTCTTTGATTTGGTTTACAGGAAAAGGGTTTATGATACAGGTAAAGTTCTAAAATGACGTTTTTCAATTCAATTAAGCTTAACAGCTCTAATATTTACAGAATTAAATATGCCAAAAGGAAAACGAATCTGTACGGAGCAGTGTTGCCAGAATATATTTTTGTAATGTACCAGATTTATCTAAAAAATGTACCAGATTTCATAAAAATGTACTAGATTCTATAAAATTACCAGATTTTTCTAATTATGAAGTATGGTCATTAAAGAGCAAAAAAAGGTTTATAGAGAACACGAACACAACAATTTTAAACAATATTTTATAACTCGATAAATTTTTGACACTATTTTATCTCTCGAGCAGTTTTTGAATAAGATTTTAATACCTTTTGATACTTTTTTATCTCTCGAACAGTTTTTAAATCTTTTTTTATCTCTTGAGCTATTTTGAAACAATATTTTATCTCTCGATAAATTTCTAACAGTATTCTATCTCTCGAGCAATTTTTAACAACTTTTTTATCCCTCGAGCAATGTTTGTATAATTATTAACACTATTTAATCACTTGAGCAATTTTTAATAGCCTTTTTTTACCTTTCAAGCTATTTTTAAACAATATTTGATGTCTCGTGCAATTTTTGAGCAGAATTTTAACAATTTCTAACCCTATTCTATCTCTCGAGCAATGTTTTTCAACTTTTTTTATCTTTCTAACAATTTTTAAATAATGTTTTATCTCTCGAGAAATGTTTAATAGTATTTTTTATATCTCGAACAGTTTTTAAACAAAATTTTATCTCTCGATAAATTTCTAACATTATTCTATCTCTCGAGCAATTTTTAACAACTTTTTTATCTCTAGCAAACTGCAAAATATTTTAACTCTCGACAAATTTATAAAAATATTTTTACTCTCAATAAATTTTTAACAATATTTTATATCTCGAGCAATGTTTGTACAATATTTTATCTCTCGAGCATTTTCTAATAGTATTTTATCCCTCGAGCAATTTTTGAACACGATTTTAACAATTTATAATACTATTTAATCTGTCAAAAATTATTAAATATTTTTATCTCTCATTAAATTTCTAACAGTATTTTTATCCCTAGAGCAATGTTTGAACAATATTTTACCCTTCCAGCAATTTCTAATATTATTTTATACTTCGACAAATTTTTAACACACTTTTTTACCTCTCAAGCCATTTTTGAACAATATTGGATCTCTCGTGCAATTTTTAAACAATGTTTTATCTCTCGAGAAATGTCTACTATTTTATCTCTGAAGTAATTTTTAACAACTATTTTAATTTCTCTTGCAATTTTTGACCAATATATTTTACACTTCAAATGGAAACGTACACTGGAAAAAGTACTGGATTTTGTTTCGAGTGTACTAGAGTACCATATTCTCAGAGAATGTACTAGATCTAGTACAACTGTACTAGACTGGCAACACTGGTACGGAGGTACAAGAAATGGTCGTAAACGCCTTTTTAGAAGGGAAGAGTAAGATTGCGATTTCCAAACAGTTCGACTTGCCCAAATATAGTGTCTCAAAAATAATTTCACGTTATAATGAAAGAGGACATGTAGAAAAAATGCCGAAATCAGGAAGGCCCAGGAAAACTACATTTTGGATGGATAGGAGAATCAAAAGAATTTCTCAAAGAGATCCGTGGTTGTCAGGACCAAGGATAATTGCTGAAATTCCCGAACTGGAAGTCAGTGCGAGGACTGTTCAACGACGATTAGTTGAGGCGAAACTTTATAGCAGACGTCCTGCCAAGAAACCGTTGGTTTCTGAAAGAAATCGCCGTTCCAGACTTGAATTTGCACAACAACATTTGAACTGGACAGTTCAAGATTGGGGAAAAGTATTGTTTAGCGACGAAAGTCGTTATAAAATTTTTAATTCTGATGGAATGAAGCGTGTCAGGCGTCCGGTTAATATGAGATTTCACCCAAAGTATGTTACGCCAACAATAAAGCACGGACAATGTAGTGTATTTGTATGGGGTTGTTTTTCGTGGAGCAGAGTAGGCCCACTACATTTTATAGACGGAATTATGGATCGCTTCGTCTACAGAGACATACTCCAAAACGTTATGTTTCCCTATGCTCAGCGGGAGATGCCTTTGCAATTTATATTCCAACAGGACAACGATCCGAAACATTCGTCTCGCCTTGTTCAGGAATGGTTTCAGGAGAACAATGTCCAGGTTCTTAGGTGGCCGGCCCAATCACCAGACCTCAACCTCATTGAGAACCTTTGGGAAGAAGTTGAATGTCGTATTCGGACTACAAGATTCCCAAATAAACAGTCCTTAATTGATCAAATTAATGAAGTTTGGATTAATATGTCGGATATTACTATCCAAAACTTAATTTCATCAATGCCGCGCCGTTGCCAAAAAGTTATATCTAATTATGGATATCCTATTAATTATTAAGAATTTATTCTTATTTTGTTTTAACCCTTCAACCATATTTGTGATTTTTCAGTTGTTAAATGAAATACAAAATTTTTTCATAAAAGTTGTTATACTTTTGTCGCGATAATAAAGAGTATTGTTGAAATAAATTATTACATACTAACTT